TTTAGAACAGACTCTCACTTGTGTGAAAACACATTCCCGTGTTGTATTCTCCTGTGAGAATACGTTCATGTCTTTGAATTCTCCATTAGCAAGACTCCTTCTAATCACCTTCCTCAGGTGAGCAATGTCCTTCTCTCTGTGCTTTGTATCTGCCTGCCTGGAGTTCAGATGCAACAGACTGGATTACCCCCCAGCTAGTAATCATCTCTGTCCAAGAGGGCTTCACTTGATTCAGCGATCACTGAAAACTTTAACAGCCTTCAGTAATTAGCCCAGCATCAGGGACAAGAAGTTTTGCTGGGATTTTCTCAATATGGAGATGAAGGACAACAGAGAAGGCAGTTGTCTCTCACATTATAAAAAGCTCACAGTTTGACCTACAAATACATTGATTATCCAGTATCAAATCTTAGTTGTTCACAGCCAAATTTCCCAAACTGTTAGCACGTTTCACGAAGTAGTCTCATTATAAATGTCAACTGCAGATTGTATTCTGTGCACATGTATATATATGTGAATACCCAGCTCCCTACTAAATGTCATTCATCCACTTTTAGAAACATTTATATTCAAAATTATTCAGATTTTTACAAGTGCCTCAGTGACAAGGGAACTTGTACTCTTATGTCAGGTGCCACTGACAATCCAAACTGCATCTGTCATTAGACTGTTTGTTTGGTAATTATATGTGGCAATGGGATCATCTCCTGAAAGGTTTTCTATGTAGCCCACAAATCAAACTGAAGTAGAGGGGCTTTGGTGAGGAGAAGTTAGATTTAGAAAAAACATCTATTTGAAACCAATTTTGCCCAAGACCTAAACAAAAGATAAATGCAAATCATAGTCCATCTGTGCATGCAGAACTTTTGAAGCATTTGTTCTGTTCTTTATGTATTGCTTTTTCAAGTAATTAAGATAGAGATGGCCAAATATGGCAGTATGTTTGATACCAAAAAGCATTGGGGTTTTCACCCCACAATTTTGCATGTTATACACTATATACTCCCTAGCTGGGAAGACGTTTTTGTTCTGTGTTTACAGGTCTATCATGGCAACCTGCTCCTCAGCTTAAGTTCCTACATGTTGTGGTCATAACAATAACTGAGATTCCTGATAGAAGACAACCCACTAAAAGCCAATTTTGCTTGTATTGAAGTCAACAGCACTCAGTAGCTACCTCAGTAGGAACAGAATCTCACCCGAGTTATGAAAAATTCTGCCATTAAAATATACCAGTAGGCTCACATACAAAATGTAAGTAAAGACTCTTTTCTAAAAGCAACCATAGAGCTGCACAGAACACAGAGCAATGGTCTCAGCACAGGGCCAGAAAGATTTGGAAGCTGTAGAAAATATTTCAAGTTCATTAAATACCCCTAGGATGCAATAGCACAGTGCAAGCCCTGAAAATCAATGTTGACACAAAGAAAGCTAGTTTTACATAATTACTATCAATTGTAAAGTTCCTCCTGGGCAGCAAATGATAACAACTATAACACCAGGAAACGTGTTAATTGCTTTGATTCAACATCCTAGCGTGTATATCCAGATCCTAAGAACTGAAACCCAACCAAGAACAAACCAACACCTTAACCACCTGAACTCAACTACTTGAAAGAGGTCTTTCTAATATTTTGGATTACTAGCGCATTCAGTCCTTCTAAAGACTCCCTTTACACTTCATACTTTACCATTTAACATATAGGTTGAATAATCTTTACTAATTTCTATGTTGACTTACATGGATTTATTGGCTCACCTGGTTTTTTACTAATTAGGTAGCATCATTCAGATCAATACAGATGGAACTTTCAGACACATTTTTGGTTTTTCTTTACACAATAATCTTTAAGAAGATTTTTTCTTAATATATTACTAAGTGTTTTGCATATGGTCACACAAAGTCTTCAGTGTTTTATCTCTTTCAGGCTCTCTCTGTTATTTTTTCCAATTTCTTAAGACATTCAGTCACTAAATTAAACACCAACAAAAACAAAACAAACAAAAATAATAAGACAGATATATTACAACTACTGAACTGACACTTGTAAATTCTGAGTAATTCCTATGAAACAATGTGAATTACTACAAATTTACTACAAACCTGCTATTCCACAACTCCAGTGGGGTAACCAATCTCAAAATTGAATGACTGTAAATTCTGTCTAAAATCTGAAGTTTTGGTCGTGGTAAATTGCTGCTCCTGGTGCGAGAAGATATTCTTTACAGAGAAGATATTCATTCTTTACACTAGAATGAATCTTCTCAATTGGAAGTCATAATTATAACTAAAATGACTAAATTTGAACATGCCAAACTACAGAGGAAAAGAAAACATCCCAGTTGCCAGGTTAGCTTTGCTTATATTGAATGTCTGACAAAGTTATTCTGAAGGAGGAAGTAATTTTATTCTGTATTTAAAAGAAACTGAAAACCAGAAGTAGGCATAGGCTTCAAATCAAACCACAACCACCCCCTTCAAATCAAACCATCAAGCAATGTATTTTAAAGATAAAGCCTTGTCAGGCCAGCATTTCACCTGTTCTCCCATACAGCTTCTAAACACAGCCAACAGAGCTTTGTTCATCTTGAAATACTTTCTAGAACATACACTCCAACCCATGTTTCTATACAGTTAGTAAATGTGGGTCTTCAGGCCATGTTACCTGTACTCTGTCCTCTTTCTCTGCAAGCTCCCTATGAGGGATGGAGGGCGTTAGAACATATGGAGCAGGAAGCCTGACAAATTGCTAAGCCAAGAGCATCTGGATAATTCATTAGCACTGTCAGAGTTCCAGTCAGGTTTTGCTATTTAATTTTCTAACAGATTTTCTAGTGACCGTTCCTGAAAGAATGAAATTCAGAACCATACACATCAAAGGAGGGTGAAGAGGTTTAAAATAGTGTTCGTTGCTTATAAAATTCACAAGCAGCCAAGATACATTAGCTGAACCAGGGCAGTGGTTGAGTCACCATCCCCGGAGGTATTTAAAAGATGTGCAATTGTAGTGTTTAAGGACACGGTTTAGTGGTGGACCCTGCAGTGCTGGGTTAACAGCTGGACTCGATGATCCTAAATAGAGACAATTCTATGGTTGTATGAATGCAGCCACTGGAAGGAAAAACCTTTCAGGCAATGTGAAAACAGACATCAGCATGACTAAACAGAGATAAAAAGTGACCTTACTGTGCAACAACACGCCGGCATGTGTACTTGACTACGTTTTGCAACTGGAGTTTGGGTGGGTTTCTGGTGAAAACCGGGAAACAAACAGAGAAGAATGACTAACCGCGCCCTCTAGTGGCCACACTTTATAACAACAAGAGCTCTTAGGATTCTCTTCGTGGTAACGGGGACATTTATTCGACTCTCTCCAGAAGTATTTTTTAGAAGATGACAAATAGGCTTAAAAATAGTAGCGCTTAATCGCATTCTCCTTTAAAAGAAACCCCCAATTTTTACTACACAATTAGACGGCTATTCATTTATTTTGATACTTCTAAACGTCCCTAAAAAATCTCACCTGATAAAGTAACAGGACAGCAAGGATAACAAAAATCATCAAACCCAACCCACGGAGTGCATCTAGAGCGAAAAACAATGGGGATGGTAAAACTCCGGTTTAATGTGGATGTCTTTTTAAAGACACAGTGAGTGACAAATCTTCGGCATTACTTTGGAAAAGATATACTCACCTGCCCTTTCTCATGACAACTGGAAGCACCTCATTGAAAGGGAGAACTGCGTCTTGTCTGATTTTACCCCATGATGCTCCAGGCGTTAATAAGCCTAGAAAATATCTCAAGCCTAGAGAATTGTCATGTTCGGGTAAAAAAAATGAATTAAAAAAAATTAGTAGCAGAAATTAACTCCCTGTACTTAACGCAACCAAATGAAATTACAGCTTTAGAGTGCAGATAGGGTCGTGGCAGCTAATAGTTGTTTTAATGTTGTGGACAGGTGTAGGACACAAGACCTCAGGAAGCTGCAGGAGCAGAGACCTGAGACCGAGGTGGGCAGAAGCAGGGAAGAAGACTCTTCTGTTGTCCATACAGTATCGGAGGAGTAAAAAGAGAAGAGTCCCCCTATCCAGATGTGCACGGCGGAGGGCCGGGGCGGACGGGCTGTAACAGGAAACCCGCGTGTTGCAGGGCAACCCGGGCGCTGCAGCACCGCCCTGCCGTGCCGGGGACCGGGAGCCGGGACCGCTCGCCACCCCGCAGGCAAAACAAACGAGACGGGAGCGACAGGGGCTGGCCGTCGGCTGCCGCGAACAAGGAGCGAGCTGAGTCGTACTCAAACGCTTCACTTCGAGCCTTTTTAGATGGGGGGAAAAAAAGTCCACAAAGCGTTACTTGCGTTTAGCGGACAACTTCGGCCAAGTGCCGCTTGGCGGAGCGGGCAGCGGGGCGGCGGGGACGGGGCCCCGAAACCCTCTGCTGGGAAGGGTCCGCGGCCGGGCGGGCGGTGGGAAAAGCCCCGGACAAGCCCCCGCCCCGCTCCGCCATGTGCGCGGGGCGGGGGAGGAAGGCGTGTCCCCATCCCGCCGCACCGCCTCCCGCTTCGCCTGCCAAGCCGGCACCGCACCGCCGCGGAGCGGTAGTGGAGCGCAGCGGCGCCGGGCACGGCTCCCCGGTCCCCGCCATGCCGCGGCCGCGCTCCCGCCCCGGCGGCCCCGCGGAGCCGCCCGCCAGCCCCGGCGCTGAGCCCGCACCGCACCTCGCGAAGAGCATCGCCGAGGATCACCGGGGGGACGCGCGTTCCGCCGCGTCCCCGCGCCCGCTCCTGCGCGGCCGCTGGGGGCGCCTTCTCCCGCCGTTCCTCCCTTCTCTCCTCCCTCCGTCCCCGCCGTCGCCCGCCCCGTCCGCCGGCGGGAGCCGGCCAGCGGTACGCGCAGAGCCGGAAGCCGGGGCAAGCCGCCGCCTCCCGCGCTGCCCCCTCCTCGCCGCCCTGGCCCTGCCCTTGCCCGCGCTTCCCCTCCTTCCGTCCCGCCCAAGCCATGAACTTTGGCCGTGGCCCCCCGGTGGTGTTGAACGTCGGGGGCACCCGGTACTCCTTCTCCCGGGAGGTGTTAAAGGATTTTCCGCTGCGCCGGGTGAGCCGCCTGCACGGCTGCCTCTCGGAGAAGGACGTGCTGGAGGTGTGCGACGACTACGACCGGGAGCGGAACGAGTACTTCTTCGACCGGCACTCGGAGGCTTTCGGCTTCATCATGCTGTACGTGCGGCACGGCCACCTGCGCTTCGTGCCGCACATGTGCGAGCTCTCCTTCTACAACGAGATGATCTACTGGGGGCTGGAAGGCTCCCACCTCGACTACTGCTGCCAGCGCCGCCTCGACGACCGCATGTCCGAGACGTACACCTACTACGCGGCAGAGGAGCCGCCAGGGGAGTCGGGTGGCGGCCCCGAGGGCAAGGGGAGGCGGCCGCCGGGAACCGAGGGCGGGAAGTGGCTGGAGAGGATGAGGAGGACTTTCGAGGAGCCCACGTCCTCCGTGGCCGCCCAGGTCCTGGCCACCGTCTCCATCCTCTTCGTAATCGTGTCCATGGTGGTGCTGTGCGCCAGCACCCTGCCCGAGTGGCGGGCGCCGGGGAATCGCAGCATGGAGGAGCAGAGCAGGTACACAGCAGAGTCAGTGAGGGAGCCCTCAGGGTAGGAGGATCCTTTATTTTCCCGCTGTCCGGTCCCCGTGTGTCCCGTCCAGTGTGTTCTGCCCTTCGTCTTGATCGTCCGTGGCTGTAGTTGCCGCCGGCGCAGATCGTCTGCGCGCCTAAAAACCCCGACCCTGAGCTCGGAAGCTGCTGGGGGGGATGTGGGGGTGTCGGCGGAGCGGTGCTGCTCCGCAGCTCCTGCTCCCGCCGGGCTCCGCCGGGCTCCGGTGGCCCCGAGCGCAGGGCACAGGCAGGGGGGAGCCCGGAGCGGCCGCACTACAGGCGGGCCAGGGCTGGCAGCGGAGCGGGGCCATCGGGATACGGCTCCTATTCTCAGTAAGGGTGCCTCCCTTCGTGCAGGATCTTCGGGTTTTAAGAGGCCACGGGACTCTTTACCCACACAGAGAACTTCAGACACTCGGAAAATCATCTTAGGCCTTACGACTGGGGGGGGAGAAAAAAAAAAGGGGGGGACTAAAACTCGAAAAGAATGCAATTCCCTTGTCTTTTCCTCTGGGAAAAGCACAATCCTGTAAGTACTCTGAACGTATTCGTACAGGTCCTTCTGATGGAGCAGATCCGGTGCTTGTTACGATTCTGCTCTGGTAAAATCATGTGTGGGGGAACAGCCTTACCCCCCCGCCTTTCCATCTCGGATTCTATATGTGGGGAACACAGGAGATGATCAAACTACACACTGAGCTCTTGCAAATGCATCATATAAGCACCCCAGTGTATGAATGTAACAGTGTTTACATTTCCTTTAGATAAGACGTATGTAAGCACACTAAACATTGCAAAACAGATGCAGAAACCAGGCCATGGGGTATAAGGCTCTATCCCGAGCCTTACTAGTAATAACAAACCTTTTTCATCTTCTTGTGACCTCAGATTAGGGTTACATTGATGCAACTCTGCTGACTTAAGTATTGTTGCACTCGCTCTCCCTCTCCCGCTCCCTCTCTTTCCCTCTCTCCTGTTCCCTAGAGAGCAAAATTGAGACCATTTCTGGTAGAATTTCTCTCATAAAGAAGAGTGACATATAAAGAAAGAAGTAAACATTTCTGGTATTTGCTAGCTTCTCCCTTTTAAAACAGACAGGATACTCAACAAAAAGTTTTCAGCTTCTGGTCTGCTAAAAGGGCCCTACAGTGAAATTGCAGCCTTGTCATTATGAAATCATCATCTTTTACCATAGACTTAATTGGAATGTGATATATTATATCTTAGTAGCCAGATTAATTCCTTGGAAAGTATTTTCATAGTTTCCATTAGCTTAATGGAAAACTGCACCTGTATTTCTTATTGTAGTTGAGCCAAAGAATTAATTGTATGAACAAAAAGCAAGCAGATGCAGATTGAGAAGCCTTTGATGCCTGCTTAGATTCAGATACGTAAAAAGTTGCTCTTATAGTTTCTTCCAGTTAAAAAGCATTACTTAAGCTTTGCAAGGTTATTTCAAAGAGTGGATGCTCCTGGTGATCTTTTTGTGCAGCAGCAAATTGCCAAGATGCTCCCAACAGACATGTGAAAATAGATGCAGCATTAGCATAGCGTTAACCACATCTGTCTTGTCTTTGTTAACATCTTCATGGTGTGGGAATTGACAAGATTTTTTCTCTTACTGAAAGAGTTCAGCTTGCAGAAGGACATGGCATAGGATGTGTTGTTTTTCTTTCATGGTGCCTTTCAAGAACATGTGTATTACTCTTCTGAAAAATTGCATATTGTATACCAAGTGTTAGAAGGATAAAGTCTTAAGTATTTGAAAGGTTCAGTATAGCTAAGCACTTCCCAGGGCAGTGAAATTTGCTATTAAAACCAGAAGGACCACTATCAATGGTGGGGTGAGTTTCTTCAGTACTAACTGTAATATTCCATGATTTGCAGGAAAAAAATAGAGATAACTGTAAAAGTTGTAGCTGAACAGTTTCTAACCATCTTCTTGCAAAAGCCTGTCATGTATAAACACTGATACAAACTGTTTCATTTCACAAGTGGCTTAACCGATGTGCTCTCACTGCACAGGAACTGATCACATGGGGAACATATGGAAAACAGACACAAGTGTGTGCCTCTCTGTCCACAGCTGGCCACCAAGGTGGAAGTACTCCTCTCTTTATTACATATGCTGCACCATGACTAAAAAGCCTGTTATAGCTGGAAAAAGAGGTGTGTTAGCTACAGTTGCTTTTAAGTGAGTGATCCATTTTAGTTACAACTACTTACACACGCCATAGGATTGGACCTAGCATGCCCAGTTGTCATCTTTATTTCCCATTTTTTTTTTATATTTTCTTTTGTTTGTAGTTATTTCATTTAAAATTAGTTAAGTTTCCTAAGTAAGTTACTAAGTGGCTTATTTGAAAGCCTGACCACAGAAATCACGTAGGAGTGTCTGGGATCACATACATTGGCAATATTGTCCATCTTAGGTGTGAAGGCTTTTAAAAAACTGTCCACTAGTTTCTGCTACATTTAAAAGTTTGACACCAAATTCTGTCCTTTGTTTATTAACCAATGTTCCTCATCAAAATAAAGGAATTTTATCTAACATAGTAATACAATAACTTACGTTTTTTTTCCCCAGAGAAATTGTGACATTAGTGCTGTACTCAAGTGAGCTTTGACTTGCATGGCACTGTAATTACTAGTATGAAGACCTTACATTATTCAAAAAACATATTTTGAAAAGTTTGAGGAGTGAAAATTGAGCAGGCTAATCTAGAAATCCTTAGGCTGTAGATTTGGATGTAATCAATTATTCAACTCAGCATAAGCTACTGAGGTGAGGTGAGAACCACCTCACGAAATTCAGCAACTCTCATAGTTTTAGTCTCTCACATTCTCACATAAACCCCCTGTCCTTTCCTCAATATGTTACACTTCAGAAAAGTGCCACGTGGATAATTTCTGTGGCTGATTCCTGTGGTAACCATTCCCAGAAAAGCTTTGGGCAGCTGTAGTGAAAGCACCTGACTAGCGATGTGTCTCCAGCTTACCTGGACATCATCTCCACAAATGAGAGGGTCACTAACTCTGTCATTTACAAAATCAGCCTCTTTAATGAGGTTTGCAGCAAGGGCTACTGTGGCTGCCAGCTAGACCAGCTGTGTTTGTTTTTCTTGTATGAACACCTCTCCAGCAGAAGAGGAATTGAGTCCACCAAACTTTTCTCAGAAACCATTATGTTGTTATGCCTTTTCATGGTTACCATGCTCTCAAAGGGTAAACTATGGCTATTTCTCTTCCTTCAGAGTAACACCCTTTAGAGGGCAACAGAGAACTCCATGAGTAAGCTTTAAGGAGAGAGGAATGGGGAATCTGACCTTGGAATTTCACAGATATTACAGACAGTGACAATATAATTCCCTGATTGCAGAGGAATTGCCTTCCCCAGGCCTGTTCTCAGGATGCAATCTGAGTTATTAAATTTATTTAATTTTGAGATTTTTGCTCCCTTCCCTGCCATGGCAAGTTTTACTTGTCAGAGCTAAAGATTTGCATAAGATTTGTAGAGTTTCGGAGCAGACAGCAGGAATGCCTGTCTCCCCTTCTGTTGCTTCTGGCAATTTCAAGTCATCTTTGCTCTCCTCTGAACTGTGCCAACAGATGCATACTGTGAGTCTCTGCTCAGGGACCCGTCCACACACTGATTGTGAGTGTAGTCTTTTAGGAAGAGCTTTTCAAGCCTGTAATAGAAAATCATTTGAAGCTGCTTGACTTACTGCCAGCACAGTTCTATCTACTTGCCTTAAAACTATTTTTTCTAACTATGAGTAGCTTGTTAGCCCCCTTTCCACTTAATAATCATGATTAAGTTTGTACTGAAATAATCACTGAGCCACCAAGCCCATATGATTGCTGTGTTCTTAAGCAAAAGCAGATAAACACCGTAACTTCCCCAAACAGTGTCTCTCATCAGGTGTCAGTGGACTTTTTTTCATCTCTGCAAAATATCCACCTAAAGAGTTACATTTGAATTTTAGACACACAAAAATCATTATTCCTTTACGGTGGTGGAACTTCAGAACACCTAAATGTTCATGTTCAATGTCTCTTCAAAAACACAGTAAGATCTCCTTTCCTGTGTAAGATCTAACTCAAACACCACATTTTTGCTAAGTTAAAACAGTGGGCTGAAGATAAAGAATGGAACTACAAACCTAAGTTAAAAACACAGACATGGATTCTTCTATTGAATTTACTAGCTTTTTCAAAAAGAGTTAACACAATGAACAGATGTATATCGCTGTCTGGCAATAGGAGAATCTTAAACTCACCAGGTCTAGGTGTCAGTTATGTTCAACATATATGGAAAAGATGCTGAGGATCCCAGGGCTTGAGATCTTCGTATCCCGGTATCCCCTTTGAGCTGTGAAAAGCATTTGCCCCTTCCCTGGGGAGTGCTGGGTCATTACAGCCTCCCACATAAGGTAGCAGAGTTTAATGCATCAAGACATATTATTGCTACCAAAGCAGAGACAGAATGGAAAAAACCCGGCAAGGTTTTTAATGCAGGGAAACTGCTGTTCTGTGGCCTCTACTCCATAGCTTCTAGTGAGAAGGAAACCCTGTTGACTTTAAAACGATTAAAAAACCCCAAACATTTGCTGAAATTACCTAGGAGTCTTCCTGAGCAGGAATTTGATCATTCTGGCTACTGCTTGGATGTTTTTCAGGTTTAATGTGCTCTACATGGAAATAGGCTTCAGCAACAATTTAAAAAATCAGTGCTGACAGACTTTAATCTTTAATCCTGTCATATACTGTCTTTAATCGTATCATCTGTTTTCCTCATGTGTCCTGTTGGTGTGTATGTTTATTTACAAGCTTAATAGATAATAGTGCCACTAAGGAGTATTTTGGCTCTATTTCAACCAACTCACCAGGGGATATTCAAAGTACACAAATTGGCATGCTTGGGCAAAGAATATTGCTAAGTCAAAACATTCTAAGATAGTCACAATATGATTTTTTTTTTACTACTAGCAAACTAGTCTTGTTAGTGATTGAAAAAAATTATTTCTGAAGTGGCTTAACTCTCTGTACATAAAATAGCTTATTCTGAGAGAAAGTTATATGCAACAGAGTAATCTTGAAAGACTATTAGGTACCAAGTGGCTTAAAATTTCAGGAGAAATACCTTCTTTGATGTGCTTAGGTCTTGAACAGTGAACAGTAAGTTTGAGCAGAAATAGCCTGTAACTGAATAAAAACTATGTCTTTGTATTTTCTCTGATTACTTATAAATTTCTGGGGGGGAGATCTTCAAGGAAACACTTAATGAGTTTGTTTTTAATTCCCCCTCTCCATTTTGAATACCAGCTATATTAAAACTGAACTGATGGGGAAAAAAAAACAACCAAAAACTGTGATGGAAGTTTATAGGTACTACATTTTACAAAATAAAGCCACTATTTAATTAAATAGTTATAGATTTTAATACAGCATTATTCTAAGCATAGGCAATAAAAGCAGTCTGCCCTGTGAATATGCAGAAAATATTTTAAGATTGATTACAAAGAATACAGGTGCTTTAGTTTTCTGAGTACATGCCTGTTTTTTGGCTTTAACTTTACACTCAGTTAAGTTCTCTTGAGGGGTAACTGTTAAATTTGCTTTCCTTATTAGATGTTATTTACCCACTAATAAGGTTAGCTATAAAAGTCACTGCAATGAGAGGGGGACTTGTTCTAAAAGTGGAAACATAGTATGTAGCATCCAGATTTCTCAACATGCTAGAGGTTTCTAGTTTTTCTCACCAAAGCATACACTTTTATGTGATTCACCAGTACTACCAAAATCCATCTACACAGCCAAAAAGGAGTGACAAAAGTGAAAACTGTTTCACTGATGGCTAAAAAGTAACTAGAGGAAGGAAAAAAAAAAAAAGGGACACTCTTCTTCATTATCTTCTTCCTAGCCTGGAGAAGGAAGGATGGATGCAAAATGCAGAAATGGCAGTGCAAGCTGTAACAGTGGCATTAACGTATCTCCCACTGTCTTGATCTTTCTTTGTCATTTTTGCATCAATGGCATTCCTTACCTCTCTTCAAATCTGTTCTACAATAAATGCTTCTTCAGTCCTTCCTATGGAAGTATTATTGATTTACAGTATTTCTTGTGCTAGGAACTGCCAGAGTAAAACAGTGGATTGATAATATTTAATGGATATTTACTTGTACAACTATTCCCCAAAGTTACATTGAACCACTGAATCAAGGCCGATTTATAAAGACAATTTCTATTGTATCACAACAATCAGAACCTAACTTCATTAAAGCTCAACCCAGAGATGTGTCTAACATGTGACAAAAATGGAGGAGTCACACTTCCAACATTATCAGGGCATCAGTAGGAAATCAGTAGGAAATACCAAGGCATCATAGGAAATACCAAGTGAAAAAGCTTTAAATTGTGTAATTACAAATTTCTTTTTCATTTAAATGCTTCATGTCATAGGATACAGGCAGCACTACCAGAGAAATCTCATAAAATGTAATGAAATAGTCTGTTGGAATTGTTGAATATTCCTGGCTGCAACTTTCTATCAAGATACAATTTTCTTTTAATCATTACACGAGATCTCAACCAGCCAACATATAAGTACATTCAGACTTCATCACTGTGTCCATTACCATGATCTCGCTGTTTGATTTTACTGGGGAAAGTCTTACATATTTCCTTATCATATGTAAAAAGGATTTAAGTGAACTTACCCATTAACCTTTTTTCCTTTATTTGTTTTCAACATAAAGGAAGCTTTCAAAAGCTTAATTTTTAAGAGAACACCTAATTCTTGAGAGCAAACTGGTTTTGAAATTGAGAGATCTTTCCAGCAAAAGGTGCTAACATGAACTAATGTTTTATAAGCTCTTTATGAAGAATGACCACTTGCTTACAGAACTTTGTTATTCATGAAAAAATAAAAAAAAGATCTGAATTTATGTGAATAAATATTTCTATAAGTAATTAATTTATATCCATTTAAATTTGTTGCAGCTAGAATTACAGTTTACCTTATGATTTTGCATCAAGGTTACATTTTGCATGACTGTTACTGTTTCTTCCAATTTTAGCTTAAAACTAAGGAGAATGAATGGACAAAATTAAATTAATAAAAAATTACTGTACGAAACTTTCATGAAAAAGCTTATAGAGTCTATAATTATATCAGTTAGGAGAGAATATTGCCTTTCTAACAGGCCATTCTCTTAATAATAACAATAGATTTCAGAACCGATAAAAAATATGCAGATGTATTAGGGAAGCAAAAGTTTAGCTTTGAAATGACAGCATCACTTGGAAATCATTCCGTTTCAACAGACACTACCTTGTTAGGGTCCTTGCAGTAGCAAAAAAGGCCCAACTGTATTTTCTAGTGGTATTTTCAAATCTCCAATCTCACACCAGTTTGGTTTCAGACCTGTTGGTATGAGAAGACATCAGTGATGGGCTTTTTCTTTGCTTAAAGTGTTGATGAAAAAGATAAACAGAGGAATTAGGGAAATACTAGCTTCCATTCCCTCATGTAGTAAAAAAGTGAGCACAGTCTGAAATCTTAAGATCTGCAACTACATGCACAACACTTACTAAATAATCTTTGAGCAACATTTTTATCTTCTGTTTCTACCTTACACTGGTTTCAAGTTGAGATATTCTCAAGTCTCATTCAATGCACTGGGACTTAAAATATTTAAGAACATACTGAAATCCCCTTCCAGGGTTTCTTCTGTATTTGGCAAGATGATGATCTTGCCTATTACCTTAATGTTTGGTTACCTTGATTTTTTTTTGCAATGTAGTTTAGGTGGAGTTACATTTAAAGCAAAAGAAAAGAGATCAATAATGCAGAGCATTGTGGTAAATGGGAGGTCACAAGCTTAGTACTTTGTGTACCCAATGATGAAAAATGAAATACCATCTATATTTAGTGGCAATACCTATAAAGTTCTGAATATAATTCTATACGGCCCATTTGGGATGCAGATCAGATAGACTGGTTTAGGTTGATTCCTGAAGAACTAATTTGCATGAATTATCCAATGCAAAAACTGATTTCTGCCTACTCCAGTTGCACTTCCATTTTAGTTTAGCAGTCTGGTTCTATAACCTGTTAATAACCTGTCAGTTCACTGACCTACAGCCCTTGGCATTCCCACATGGATCAGACCTCACAGATTTAAACAAACGAACAAAAATGAACAAAATCCCCCAAAACTCAATGAACAAAAGAAACCCAAACCGCAGATGTTTTAGATATTGTTACACATTGGCACTGGTGGCCTACCATTTCCTGTAGGGTTCTAGTTTCTGGCATGTATGCCATGTACTGTGACTAGTAGCAGTCTGTAATTCAAAGAAAACAAACAGTGAGTGAGTTCTCAGCAATTATCAGTTTAAACTCTCACTAGATCCTCAGGTTAATTGATGAAGACCAGTGCCACATGCGCAGGATAAGAATAGTGTGGCTTTCTGTTTGTTGTCCGTGAAAGTCTAAGTGTCAATTTGGTAATATCCGTGAACAAACCAAACATCCACTGAAGCTTTTGCACAGAGCATAAATATTGTACTTTGTTTCTTTTGACAGGATAATTGAAGCTATCTGCATAGGCTGGTTCACTGCAGAATGCATTGTGAGGTTCATCGTCTCCAAAAACAAGTGTGAGTTTGTCAGAAGACCTCTCAACATCATTGATTTGCTGGCAATTACTCCTTACTACATCTCTGTTCTAATGACAGTTTTCACAGGGGAAAATTCACAGCTTCAGAGGGCTGGAGTCACTCTGAGGGTCTTAAGAATGATGAGGATTTTTTGGGTGATTAAACTGGCCCGTCATTTCATTGGCCTTCAAACACTTGGTCTGACTCTGAAGCGTTGTTACAGAGAGATGGTGATGCTACTTGTCTTTATCTGTGTTGCTATGGCAATTTTCAGTGCACTTTCCCAGCTTCTTGAAAATGGGCTGGACTTGGGAACAAAGAATAAGGATTATGCCAGCATTCCTGCTGCTTGTTGGTGGGTGATCATCTCAATGACCACAGTTGGTTATGGTGACATGTGTCCCATCACTGTGCCAGGAAGAATACTTGGAGGGATTTGTGTGGTTAGTGGCATCGTTTTATTAGCCTTGCCAATCACTTTCATTTATCACAGCTTTGTGCAGTGTTACCATGAGCTCAAGTTCCGATCCGCTAGGTACAGTAGAAGCCTCTCTGCTGAATTCTTAAATTGACCAAACTTGCATTCTGTTGTAGTTACTTGCTAAGCTTTGTCTTAGAAGAGAATGGTGGAAGGTCCCTTCGCGTGTCCTCCTTGACTGGATGGTCCTGTGGAACAACATTCTCGCCAGCCTGGAGAAAGCCCGTCACCATTCAGACAGGAAGGATGGCCATTTGCCTTGGGCACCTTGCAAGGAGAGGGAGTGATGTTTCAAATTTGAGAGAACAAAATTAACAAAGAGGATTCAGAAGTCCTCAACCAGACCAGTTTGCCTTCCCACACAAAAGCAGAACAAAAAATGGGCTTAACGCTGAGATCTGTCATTCCTGTAATTATATCCTAAACAATTCTAAGTGATGTGTAGCAGAAGTTTTTCAAGGAATTCAATATTTAAATATTGAAATGCCTCCATAGAGGCATTGATAACTTCTTGCCTGAAGCATCTCCACTTTTACTCAGATAACCAAACTATATATTGGAGAATCACTGCTACTTTTGAGCTTTGCAACAAAGTAGAGCTGGTTCTGTAACTCAGGAAAGATGATGAATATAGGTCTGTAGGATGAAAAACCTCAAGGCCTGATTCTGATCTTTGATGAAGCACACAAATCTTCTGTAAACCCATTGCTCTGAATTTGATAATTCACAAAGAAATGCAAGAAATGCACCTCCAAATGTTGTAGTAAGGACTTCCTTAGTCACAATTAATTTCTTCTCTGGAACCAAATTGTAAGTAGAAGCAAGTGCTGTACTTTACAAAGATCAGCATAAGAAATCAGGGATTGATACATATATTTGCTGGTAGCTTAGTGGGGGAGCTCTCCAAATTTTACATGCATTGAGTTCAACTCCATCCACATGAAATTACATACTCATAAGCATAGATTTTCCTCCCCTTTCCCCTCACCCCATTTAATTAAACACAGATATCATAATGAGAGTTCCCCAAGACAAATGATAAGATTCCACCACTTGAGCAAGCACTGGAAAACAAGAGTAGCTGCTCCCTGTCAGATGACACTCATCATCTTTAAATTCTGTAATCCTTACTGAAGGATACATGTCAATGGAAGTTTTAAAAACAACTGTAAAAAGCCCAGAGCGTACCAAAGAAAGTAAAATACAGACATGTGAGTTGCATTTGGCAAAATGGTGTATTCTCCAACGTAACTAGAAAATGAAAATGAATCAAGTACGGTTCTAACATATTATTTACTACATTTCTCATGTAGTACTGCTTAATAGCATCATTCAGTATAATTCTGAAAGGCTACTACGTAGAAATGTGCAGTTAGATACTAACACACATTAAGGTACAGCTTTACAAATTTGGGTACCAATAAACATCAACAGGGAGCTTTCATACTAACATGGAAGTTCAGAGTCATCAGCATAGGTGAATTCAGTGCGCTTGCCTGAAAATACCGCATTTACCGTTATGTGCTGTAGAGGCATCTTTTATATATGTAATTGTTAGAAGCTTTAGAAGTAAAATGAGTACCACCTAGAAAACACATCTCTGTAATTGCTCATGCAAACAGACCTGCCACATTGGTCAATAACCAGTACAATGCAGGCTCTACCCTGAGACCTGAAAAATTCATTATCATTTTAAGTGGTCTTAGTCTTAAGTAGTCTTAAAGAATTACATTGCAAACACAATTTTTCTGAAGACCTGAAGAGAACTTCAGTAGCCTTCCTACAGACAAGTTTGACTCTCCCTTCAACACTGCATTATTAAGAACCATTACAACCATACTTCTGTTCCTTGACACTCGTGTGTTCTGGTGTTCAGAAGATTAGCTCTGTAGTTCCCTATACTACTCTATTTATGCCTTTTATGGCAGAATCATGTTGCTCAGAAAACAGCATTCCACAGAGAGGTGAATATGAGATCAGCAAAAATTTCTTTCTTAGGTGAGATTCACAGCTGATGTTAGTTAGGCAAGTTGTGACTTCAGAGACACTTAGATGTTCTACACCAGCAGAGATGCTGGCTCTGTATTCCTGCATGTGTACCTATATATATCCTGCATATATTATATATTACAGTCAGTTGAAATTTTTTTTTTCTGCTCGAAAAAATTTCCTCCTTGACAAAATTGAAATTTCAGACTTTAATCCAAACACAGCTGTTGAAGAAAATGACATTTTCATCTTCTAATGAAAAGTTATTTTGACAGTATCAAAACCATTTTCAAGGAGAAAATTGCTAATTTTTTTTCTATTCTGCTCCAATTTTTTTCCATTAAAATAGGTTAAAAATCCCATGTAAGAACTTAGCCCTACAGATTTTCATATGCTGTTTTTAATGCTTGGGAAAAATACTGTTTTTCATAAAACTCCTTAAAACCTGCTTTGTCTTCTGTCCATGTATTGTACTTAGCCAAACCAATACTCTGTCGTGAAATGAGTGTTTTAAGGTCGCTCAAAAAACCCTCCTCCACAAAACGCCCAAACCATCATCATGATGGCAATAGTTTGAAATCCATACAGAATGTGAAATGAAGTATATTGCAATCTTGACTTCAAGCCAAAAAAAATGCATTTCAGCACTACCTATAAATCTAATCTTTAGATGCTTGTACAAAGGAAAAATATATAAATCAATGCACATAATAATTTGTGAATACCAATTTGCACCGTGAATCATTTTGTATAAGCTACTACGGACAGGAAGTTTTCAATTATCTGGACTATACACAGTATACAAACAAAATGTTCAATCCTTTATAAAGTGCTTTCAGCTAAAGAATCCTTTCCCAGTGTAAAAAGGTAATCCAGTGAAAATAGTTGTGTAAAGGAACAGGTCTGTGGAGATTATCTTAAGTCATACTGGGTTTTTTTAACAGTTTATGTTCAATTTTTATATGGTAAAATGTGAACAGAATGACCTAATGTATTTTTTAATTTGAGTTATAATAAAATATTTTGAAACTTCTCTATATAAGCCCACTAGGGAGAGATATGGGGGTGGAGCTTTTCGTTGGGTTCTTTTTTTTCCTCTCTGCTTTTATTGTTGTGTGGTTATCAATGACTTATCAGGTTATCAGACTTTAGTTTCCTTACAAAGCAAGTTGAAATAAAGTAATCTCAATGGTAGCCTTAAAACAGAATTGTAGGCTAAATAAAGTTCCTGACCTCTAGTAATATGTTGTCTTATTTTCAATGAACCAGGTTTTTTAGTGAAACTTTACAAAAAATTAATTATATGTGTAGTCAAAAATAAGCGTAAACAGCTGAAACTGTTTTACTAAAATTTTACTTGAGACTGTATTTTACACAGACATGGGGTGCAGCACTGTTTTGAAGTCTGTAATTTGAAAGCCAAGGGAAGACAAGCTGGTTCATCTTTAATCATTGCCAGTTTGACCTATACAATAAAAGACTTCATGGGCAGTACCTCTCTTTATCAGAAACATTCCCAGTTGGAACAAATTAGAGGAAATACAAATAGTATAAAACTGGGGATAAACAAAGACAGCTTATACAATTGTGATCTAGCATTTTGGTTTATCTAAAATGAAAACCAATATCAGTGAGTTTTGAACTGCCATTGTATGGCTTGATGACAGTAAAGGTTAATCATATGTTATATGTTATATGTTCAAACCTTAGGACTGATTTATTTGGAACTGTATATTGGCTGTAATCATTCAAGGTACTGCATGTCACTTAAAAGCATTTGATCATTAATGATATCACTGGAATAGAAAGCTGTCTAGGATATTTTCCTTCTATAGTTCTACATGAAACATCATGCCAGATATCACAAAGAATGGACGATTATAATTTCCCTTGATGTAAGACTTGGAAACTGTATTGTCTTGATGAGTACCACAAAAAAAATTAGTTTGGTTGACTGATGATTTGAAATAGTCTTATCAACATAAGGATCAGCCATTTAAAAATGTGATATTCATTCTTACTGTACAATGGCTTATATTGCTGTGCATAGCAGAAAGTTTGAGAAAGATAAAAATCCTGTTAATGTAAGTTTTGTGTCTTGATGCCCATGTATTTAAAGAAAAAGGCACCCAGTTTTCATATCATGTATGTAATTTCTGCCCATAAAGGAATTGTTATTCTGATTCCAAAATAAAACTAAAGTCCTTGTGGGTTTAAAACACTTGTTTATTCCCCTTTGGGTAACAACTACAAAAATTCTACCAGATCTGAATGTATGCCAAGAAGTGGTCATATGCACACACCAGCCAGCTAAATTCAGCAGTCAAACCAGCCAGTTTCCTGGGAACTAGCATAACGAGCAAGGTCTGCTGTGCTCTGAATTTTATCTCACCTAAGAGGTTCGGGATTACACTGATGATTAAAGCTGGATCATTTGAAGTACCTTAATTTTTTTTTAATTATCATTTCAAATGAGCTTCTAAGGAAAAATTTGCTGGAAAATTAAATAAGCTGTGCATAGCAAAACAGATACCATTTTATTAAAAAAAATTACTATGGTTTTAAAAAAGGAAGCTGGCTCTCATTTTCTGTTACTTATTTGTAAAAGCAAACATCCAGGTCAGGATATGTGATGCTAGTTAAACTTGCTACGTAAAACAGATCCCTGTTTAAAATATGGAGACTTAGTAAGAAAGATCTTCCAGCTTTGCTAGAGCTGTAACAGTTTATAGTAGCTGAAGAGTTGCCCCAGCACTCATGGAAGAAACAACAAAACACTGTTTTCATGGTAAAAAACTAATATGATTTATGGCCTGTGAAGTTCAACACAAATCTTTTGCAGATGACAGGATAGGTTAAGCATCAAGAAGGCTCCACAGTGAGCAATCAAGACTGACAATCTGATTGATAACAAATTTCAAGAGCCACAGAAGAAGAAGAATATAAATGTTTGGTCAATATGAATTATGGTCAATAAAATATGAATGCTTGCAACTACACATTTTAGAGTCCTTTATTCTTTACAAACGCAAATGTCTATACTTTTGTAGAACATTAATTTTATATATTGTTTGCTTATCTGTAAAGAAAAATATATGCTGTAATTTTAAGAGGGAATAAATGTGGGGGGTTTTATGTGAATACAGAATTACATAGATAAAATCACATAATAAAATTTGCTGGCCTTGTTCCTGTATTTCACGGACTAGTGGTCAAAACACAAATGTTTATAAAATGTGTTCTTTTCAACAAGTGAATTCCGTGGCTATTTGTATTGGTACTGTATCTCAGAAAGAACTCTTTCCTTTAACAATTGTTTACTACTGAGAAGTTTGCCATTTAGAACCTAGGAGTTATAATCAATATAAAATTTGAATATTTGATCCAGAAATTAGTCTGAGGCAAAAAATAAAATTAAACCTACATAGGGCTATTCTTCAGCAACTGAATATCTGTCATAATTGTAGACTGCAGAACTGTCAAAACAAAATGAAAAAGCAGCCATATAACACATATATTATTCCTGAGGGATTATTTATAAAAACAAGTCTAGAAAAATGGATGGAATTTGTCTTCAAGTTCACTGAAACTTACTTATATTAAAAAAAAAAAAAAACAAACCCAGAATAAAAAAGGAACCAAACAAAAAAACCCACAAATATCAACATAATATTCATTCCGGAATGTCAACACAACCAGAAATTTCAGCAATGCAATCCTTACATCATTGCGAATGGATCTGAGATACTGCCTTGATTCTTTAAATGCAGTCATTTCAAAATACTTCCAAAAATAATCACAATTAATGTTCTTGTAAAAAAAGTTTGAATATTTTAAGAGATCACTGAATTATGAACTATACTGGCACCAGCCTGCTGCATTATTATGAAAATGAACAGACTTTTCATTTAGAAATCATGAGCATTTTTACTTCTCATATGTTATTTATTAGTTTTAAAGGTTTTACATAAAATCAGTCAGAAAAGAAATGAAGCAGATGTCCACATAGTCAGGGAAGTATGTTTTAGAAGCATTTTTCCTAAAAGAACTGCTAAAATATTTGGAAGCAGTAGGGTTTTTTTAATGTTTTAACACAGTTACTATTTTACAAATATGCTCAGCACTTGCACCTCCCATCAATCTGAGATGTAACTGTAAATACATAGGACTCCCAAAAACAAGATTGATTCTTGCTGCCTTGGGGAACATTTTATACATTTGTTTGCCATAAGAATTTAAGAAAAGAAAACAGTGAAGGGGTTCACTAAAATCTAGGAAATCTAGAAGCTCAGTATTGGAATTCTTTCCCACGTACTCCAGAAATCCTCCAAGTCCATTTTTATACTTCTTTGCACTGCTCATTTACCAATATTGAAGTAGCAACTTGGAGCCACAGTGAGGACCAGGTTTCCATTGTTCTAAGGACTCTACAGCCATAGATCAAAATTACAATACTGCTCCCAAAAACAGTATGATCCAAGACTGAAACACAAATCAAAAGCAGGATGCAGACAACAGTGCAAGCAAGCAACATGGCACTTCTCTGTAGCAGGAGTGTAGCTTATCTATTGAATCTGATATACTGTTAAGTACTAAGTGCTCAAATACAACATTTTTTTCTCCTCAATTTAGAGATCCTCCCAGAGAATGCAGCACTTAGAAGACAGTTTTTTCTACAATGCTAAAGGCCTTATCAGCTGCACTGGCTGTGCCAAGACAGCACAGCGTCTAACCATGACTTTTGTCATTAGGTTTAATATTTGAACTTGATGTCATTTGATGGGATGCTGTGAATGAGTAAAACTGGGGCTGTTTATTAGAATGGCATCTTGAATAATCTTGATGCTATTATCTAGATTACATTAAAGACTAAAAGGGAAAAACAATTCCAACAATGTATTCACTAAGTAAAGTCATGCAGAGGACCACTGAAAAGAAAAGCATCACTAACAAAATTACTTCAATAAAAAAAAAAATTAAATACAAATCTAAAAGTGTGGATTCCTACCAGAGATTCTTGCTTACAGGCCTCAAATTTACACGGATTCCTTGAGTATCTCTGCCTTTAGGTCAGTATCTTTAGGCTCTACCTGTTGGGTTCTCTGATACAAACTCAGCCTACAGGTCACAGCAGCTTTTTGGTCTCCATTGACTCAAGAGGCCTAAAAACCAGATACATTGGAAAAGAAAAATCTTCAAGGGAGCCAGGCAACCAGCAATGAATATAATCTTTAAGATTTTTTTTGTTGTTGTTTTAGAAAACTATTTTTCATCTGGGTTATGGAAGACAAATTCCTGAATATAAGTGCCAGGTTGCCCTCATTGCAAGACCAGGGACCATGAAACTTATCTGCTTCCCTCTTTATGGCACACTCCATCTTCAGCATCTCTATCTTGTTCTCTTAGAGCTTTCTCCTTTCACCTGATCCTCACTCAAGAAGAATTAAGGTTAAACATTAACATCCATGAACTGAAGCTGCTGCTACCTTTGCCTTCTCTTCATATAGACTGTCCCATTCACATTTGAAATGCAGTTCAGATTAGATAGCTTAGAATAAATATCCATACATTTCTCTGTGTCAGTGTAGGATACGAAGCTCTCTCCTCCCCCACAATAAATGTCATATATAATGGGAAGAAACAGTCATGCAAAGCAAAGCTTTTACAAAGCAATACAAAATAGCCTAAATCATACACATCTCATCCTTGATCTACAGTCTTATCCTGGTGCTTCACATCCCACAGGCCATTCAAATCCATTCACAACTCTGCAGTAAAGATCACCTATCTGCCTTTGGCCATCTGCTTCTGCCAACAGGTGTGAACCTGACAGCTGAATTGCCCATGGGATGTCAGAATTACAGATTTTTACTTTTTGGTTGATTACTCTTAACTTCTGTTTCTACCAAAAAGCTGTAAAACAAATTAGCCAGGCTTGGACAGTACACTTCCACTGGCCTGTCCACTTCCACCAGCATGTAGTAGAGTCATGCTAGAATCAACTACCCATCTTGGAAACTGGTAGGATTTCACCTTTGTGTTAAAAAAACCAGTTTAAGGTCTGTAAGAGAAATTACTACATTTATATTCTCTGATTTGGGAATTTATTCCTACTTAGAGTTCAGGAGTGTCATGTGAACTAAAGGAACATTGCAGAGAGCACATGGAAGATTAATTAGTGAAAAAAGGAAATGAGATAGAGAGATATAGAGAGGTTAAAAATACTAAACCAAACAATACAAAAGGTTCTGTGTAATGAAGTCCTTTCTAAGTCACTCACCAAAAACTAAGAACATGCAATGCAGATAGAAAAAAAGAGAGAAAACTCTCAGACACTACACTCAAGAGGACTTTGCTACGCTTTTCAGCCCTCTTCACCATCACTGCTGCTGTTCTGCCATACTATCCTTGAAAATGCATCTCTGCTTTCTTCCTTTGCCAGACTTTCTATCCAACTTCTTTCCCCTTTGGTTTTTACCCTTTTCCTAGCTGCTCCATTTTCTTTCTTCTGCTAGCCACACCAGCAGGCTTCTGCACTGGGACCAAGTATTTCTAAAATCACTGTCTGCCATCCCATCCTGCTGGAGACTGGAGCAAGAAGATAAGCACTACAGCACTTGATTAGGTGTTTTCACCCCTCCAATAATAGATACAGATCTCCTGAATCAAAAGGTATTCAGCTTGAATGTTACAGTTCAGTGGGAAAACTGGTTATGTTCATTGTAGAACTGCAGTTTTTTACCAGTAGTCATCAATAATCCATAAACTCTCCACTAGGTCTTTTGTGCAAATCATATTTTATGGTTTCTTTTTTTTTAACCAGCTTTAAGAAAGGTTTTTAAAGAAAAGGAAGAACTTGTAGTAATTGGGTTCCTGTTATGTCAGTGTAATCTCTACGGTACAAGGCAAGTGTTAAGTGAGTGTTAAGAAGCTTGAGTTTGTAGTTTCAAATTATAATAATCTGACACTGTTCGGTGGCGACTAGATCTGGGACAAGCAATTTAATGGAGTCAAATCCAGCAATTCTGGGGATGCATAGAAGTGTTTCCATTCTGTCTTTGAACAGTGAACAACAAACACTGTAGCCTAAAGGAGATGGGGAATCCTTCAGGAAACCACGATCACGTCAGATCCACACTGCAAAATCTAGAAAAAGAATTACATCAGGGAGGGGAAACAATCAAGAGTATGTAAAGTAAAAAGCAAGTAAAATCATGGTGCCAGATTTCTGTTTCTGAGGAATTTGGCACCTCCTCACCACTCCTTTTCATTTCCTTCAGGCTGCAGAATAAGATACATCACTCTTAAATGAACATGCCTGCCCCACCAATGGTACTGCAAGCTCTAATACTCCCTGTGAAAGCAGAACTCAGATTTTCTCTTTTAAAAAGCTTAGCTTCCAGATATTGAGCCAAATGAAACTCTGTGTTAGCAATTGCCATCACAGAACCTACGCAAGACAAGGGAGCCAGATATGGTTCAGCAAAATTTACTGTGAAAAACCTTTTGGAGGGAGGATGTTGTCAAAAGACACATTTTCAACAAAATTTTACTCAGACTGTGTGGTCAGCAACTGCTTCATCCACAAACAGAGACCTGCACTCACACAGGTTGTCTCTTCCTTGGAAGGAAACTATAAATAGAGATGCAAAGCACAGTATGAAGAACCCCAATCTAACTATAGGCTCTGTAAAACTGTGTGTGATTTACCAAAGTTCTTGCACAATGCAGAGGCAGATGTTGCAGGCAGCATTTACTTGGAGGGCTCCCTATTTCTGCAACTATCCAACCCTTTAAAGTGTGCAAGGACTTGGCTCGGGAACAGTT